ATATTTTAAAAATTTAGCATAAATTTGTATCGTAAGAAAAAAAAACAACATTTGACACTAGTAAATTATTGATCATCTTTGAACTTTTAGCATTCTAAAATGCGCTTGCCTGAATTTATAATGTCGAAAATAGTTTAGTTATGAATTGAATTGTCTCCATTGATCACTTAGTTATTTTCATATGCTATTCCAAATTACGATATGTGTTAATAATAATAATCGGTTGCATAGATACAATAAATAATCTAGGTTAGAAAACATATTAAAGCAGTAAAACAAATGTTCTAATAAAGTATTTTTCAGAATTATTACGTTACAGTATCAATTCTATGAACCAATTGTTCTTTAAATACTTTAGCTAATTTAAATTAAATTCGAAGGTAAGTTTAACAGTTAACTAACATTATCCAGTGAAATTTTGTAAAGCAGGAAACGATCGATGTAAAGTTGCTTTATTCATATTCCCGGTTTTACAGTTCTCATCTAACAGCCTATGTGAATGAACTTCCATTGGTTTGTTCACTAGCACAGTCCTCACTCATTGGTATCAGCTAGGTAGTCAGTCTTATTTCAAACTAACTTAGTTCTAGAGTAATCATCGCGGAGCCATCCGGCTTTCATCATTTTAATGAATGATATTCAATATATTTAGGCGTTTTAGATATTTGCGTGAAAAGAAAGTTGGGTTAATTACACAAATATTATTATCCAGTGGTTCAGATCAATTTTTCTTTACAAACTCTTCAAAACAGGTGAGGTACACAAGTATATAATTTTGCTGATCTGAAATTCAACTGGCTGCTATCAATAGTTATGCCCTTTCATTTCAATAGTTTTCTCTCCTGATCTGATATCTAACCTTGTAGCGAACACAACACTGTCAATATCCTCCTTCTAAGCTACAAATATTCTTCAGCATATCATAACGATGTGTATATACAGAGATTATGAAGGAAAACTTGACCAGTGATAGGATTCAGAGCAATCGCTTCCAGATAAACAAGAATGTTACACTTCCAAACTTTTAACAAGGTTTTTTTTTTCAATCCAACAAGTTCATAAATATTAGAAATGCTTTATGGACGAGGTTCAGTTCTATGTCAATAGCATGTTCATCTGTAATTCATACCACTTTACATGATGTCTTTGAGAGTTGTATTTACTATTCAGCTGATTGTTAAGGTTTCTGAATTCCTTGAATAATCTTTCCTAGACTAAAATAAAAGCTTTCAACAATAATGCTAAAACGTGAAGTCAAATAACTATTTTATGCGTTGAATCAGTTGGTAGAAGCATAATATCATTCACCTAAAGATTCTGGATCTTAACATCAATCAAGATTTCGACTAATAATCATTGACTTCGTAGGAGTTATATATTGAAAAAAAAAACAGTGTTGATCAGTTACGAGGATCAACATTCGCTGAAGATGAGCTTGATGATCTTATCCATACAGTGAAATGATTAACGGTTATTTTTAATGATCAAGTGAACTAAATATACGATGGAAGTTTGTAATTTTTCTTATAGCTAAAGCTCTTCTATCAAATTTAAACATTCGTTCAATACCAATTGTTTAAAAAAGACTATTTTTTTTTCTAGATTGACCTGAGTGTCATATGATTTACGACAGTAGAAAATCATGACTACTCCTGTGTATATGCATCTATCTATACGTAAGTATACACGTAAACTGTGAACTATACCACCAATTCAACTCAATCAAGGTAATTTTTTACGAAGAAGGAAGTTTAATTGACATTTATATGTAACAATCATTTCTACATCAAATTAACCTATAAATCACTATTAGTAATCAACTTCTCTAATATATTTCCTTGTGGTACTTACTTACTTACTTATCAACGACATTAGTCATATTATTTTAATATGACTGACTGATAAATCAAAGATTCGGGATGCGTGAATTATTCAAGATGTCATCCGTCAATTTAATAAACTTATTTAATTTATTGATTCAGTGCACTTATTATCATCATCTACTTATAAATACAGAAAATTATTCGGTCTATGTAAGTGTAGTTCTTAAATAGAAAAAAACAAGTACACATCAATTTTACCATACATTAAATTGCAATAACTTCAAATGTTTTTTTCCCTCCATTTATCTCTAATCGGTATTCTGGCTTTATTTAATTGAAGATTGCTTAAGTCAAAAGTTAACCACAATATCATGTTAAACTGAACGATTCGAAAGAAAATAATCTACATTTATGAAATAGATATACACAAATTCTAAATATCTTGTGAAATAACCTTAAGGCGGTTTTCAAAGTTGTAACGAGTAAGTAATGTATTGCTTAAGTTAGATCAGATTAGTTACAGCATCATGAAATCATTGGATGCTGTGCTGTGAACTTTAGAAAACAGTTGAACAGAATAACACACACTATGAAACCTTTTTTTTTTCATTTAAAAAATTGAGTGATATTGGATCAGTCAGAGGGAACACTGTTGTTGTATTTAGTTATTATGGTTTCTCTAAATTCAACATTATTATTATTAATATTATCATAGATGTCAAATGTGAATTTTAGTTGTGTTTATTATTAACACTTCTATTGATTTACTTCGAATGCACTATTGAACTTTTGGTCACTAGTATATATATTTGTCTATTTTTCATTTTTACTAGTATACCATGTTTAATTCACCATCATCTTCTAAGTTGATTTAAATATATATATATATATTAGGTCAAAAAGTGAGCGTGTTTTAAGTATGATCAAGAATTAGACGAAATCTTTTCTTACTGAACAAACATTTCATTACTTAAAAATACGTGTCCTTGATATCTTCAAATACTTGACTATTTTTTGATCCCACCAATTGAACATGAGGGTGGAGAGAGATATATTCATATGTACAATTACTTCAAATATATGTGTGATTTAGCAGATGCAAAAATGCTAGGCTATTTAATACTCTCATTAAGCTTAGATGTATACCTACAACTGCGGTACCAGCTACCATAACGTTGTCTAAATTTTCAAAATCAGTTGGATTTTACAGTCACAAACATCTCATGATAGCTAAAAAGATTGATGAACTATTTTATCTTTAGAATGTTCATCAGGATAGTTCCAGCTTTATCCATAATAAGATTAATTGACAAAATAGTTAAATAAATACATTTTGGGGCACAGTTTTGGAGGTTTGCGATTTTTTACACATTTGAAATCATCAATCAATCATTGTTAGACCACCATTAGAAACCTCGTTCGAATCCTGTGAGGAGCAGGAGTCGTGGATGCGCACTGCCCATGATGAGTCCCATACCAGGACGAAACGGCCGTCCAGTGCTTCCAGGTTTCTAATGGTGGTCTAACAATGATTGATTGATGATTTCAAATAAATACATTGTTTAGAGGTTCACGAATTCAAACACATACAGACTTCGACTAAAAAAGCGGTAGAGAAAATTAAAGTTAGGTTTACACTATCCTTTCTACAACAAAGCATTAATCTTTTACAGAAGCTATTTACGTGTAAACTTTTCGAATGTTATTTATGCATAGATAATAAGTTCACACGATGCTATTCTGTTTTTATTCATCCGAAATTTGAAAAAAAGAAAATAGACTGATGTTTGTAAAAGTATAAAATATGTTGATTCAAGTAAGACATGAACTATAATCATACACACATTGTTTTTCATAACATAATGCACATCGTTTACCTATGTGACTTTTTGCATAAAAACGACTCATAAATAATACAGACTGAGAAAAACCTGGTTTTAATACTGTTCCTTTTACTGTACCGTAAAAATTCAGTCGATAATTGTTCATGGAGCTCCAAACAGGTCTATACGCACACTCATTTTTTGTGTGTATATTATACTGTTATAATTATCTCTTAGTAGTAAACCCCAGCTATTCCTATTGCTTAGTATTCTCTGACAACAATACACTCGACAAGTACCCAAATCAGAACACATTTGAACAGGGAAGAGATTTTATTCCAAATAGCTAGATTAAATGGAAGTATGAAGCTGAACTAGGAACAACGTTAGTATCTTCATAGTTTTTACATGAGAAGCTTCTGGAATGTACTCCAAGTATCGACTAGCGCTGATTGATATAAGAACTAGTCAATCAGCGCGCAGCTAACGCAATCATGCTTTCATCCATCTCTGTCCCACTAACATATACATACTTGTCTTATTTTATAAATTGCTTTTTTTCTAAATGAATACATTAGTTCATAACTTGGTAGCATATAAGTTTACTTGATTACATTACAACCCATCAATTCTTGTACAACAATTAGTAGTACTATTACGGATCAATTGTTTTTATTCTTGAGTCGACATTTTTCACAAATTAAATCACATTTTTGAAACCATGAACCGATCAATGTTAGACCACCATTAGAAACCTGGAAGCACTGGACGGCCGTTTCGTCCTGGTATGGGACTCCTCAGCAGTGCGCATCCACGACTCCTGCACCCCGCAGGATTCGAACCCATGGTTTCAAAAATGTGTAACTTAACAATCTTCACAACCCCGTAATGCAAATTACCTGTGCTCACTAGTGACTAGCTTCGTGAGGAATCTTCTCCGAGTTCCTCTAGTGGGAAGACGTGACCAGTGAAGTTCAACCTGTTCGGGTGTAGACAGTAACTACCGAAGACTGTGTATGAGGTTGCGCAACTCCGTGAATTTGATCAAGTTAGACATTAACACCGTTAGATACCGGCTCAGTGGTCTATCGGTTAGGGCGTTCGCGCACAATACCGAAGGTCCTGGGTTCGAATCCTGCGGGGTGGAGGAGTCGTGGATGCGCACTGCTGAGGAGTCCCATGCCAGGACGAAGCGGCCGTCCAGTGCTTCCAGGTTTCTAATGGTGGTCTAACATTGATCGGTTCATGGTTTCAAAAATGTGTAATTTAACAATCTTCACAACCCCGTAATACAAATTAAATCAACAATTGAAAATAACCCCATTGAAACAACTATAAAAAAAAAGGAAAAACTAATTTAAAAAATATTTTTATTGCACTTTTTTTTCTCTTAATAAAATTTTGTTGATAGACTGAATAATAATAATAATAGATAATGGACTAGAAAGAGGAACCAGGATAAGATAGGATACATACATGATTTTTTATCTTCCTAAGGAAGAAGAAGTTCAGCAGAAAAATTGTCGAGAAAAAAAAATAAGAGTCAACTAGACAAAAAAACAAAGAGAGAGAGACAGAGGTAAATAGAATAAATGAATAACAACAACAACACTTACAACAAACAAAAGGTTAACAAGACTAAGTGGCAGTAGTTAGTAATTTATATATTATTGATCACAATTTAGATTTTATAATTTTTTGTCGGTATAAAAAAAAAAGAGGGAAGAACTGAAGTTATTTTGAAAAAAAAAGATTCTCAATTATTTTCGCTGTTCCGAAAGAAAAGTGTCCTAGTTAAGCACAATGGTCTAATTTTCTTTTTTTTTATTTTATAGAATTTGACAACAAAGTGAACAGGAACAAAAAAAACCCACAATAACTAGGCTAAGTGAAGATATGCTGATAGTAGTAGGAGTAGGAGTAGTAGTAGTGATGGTATACACAATTGAGCTATAGTTAGTTTTGCAGCTGATTAACAACACAACTAACAAAGTAAATTGATTGTTAATTTCTTTTTCTTTTTTACTAAAGTATAAAAAGTAGTTTTTGAAATTTTGTACACAACTGATTAAAATGTTTTTTTTTAGGGCGGGAAATTGTTCAGAGAAACAACTATAAAAAAAAAATTAAAGACAATAGGAATGGAAACTTTTATCTTGTTTTTTTTTCACAGTTTAAGTTAAAAAAAATTTTTATTTTTTTTCATTGAGTTTCCCAATCACAGATTGGATAATAATTAAAATGTATATTAGAATTATAAAAGCTGAATAACAAACAATAGAGACGGGAGTATACTTGACAAAAAAAGAAAAGTGATGAGACTGTATTCAAAAGTTTGAACATGCCTCGTCAATGTGTCTGAAAGAAGAAAGAAAATCAAACAATAAATTAGGATGAAATTGTAAAACAGACATAAAACACACTCAGTAAAATGTATCGGTCAAATACAACAGAATCTAACTTGTCTGGTCAAATGAACGAACTAACTTTCATTTAGATTGAACACGAAAGAACGGCGCACATTTTACAAACTCACTTAAAATGTAATCAACTTCCATTTTTCGGAGCATAATGTAAGAACAGATTAATGGCAGTGACAATTTTTTGTGAACTTAATAACATAAATAAAGAATGGTAGATAAAAATTATTTCAATTCTGAATAGGGAAGGTAAACAAGACAAAAAAAGCTACTACTACTACTAAGAAAAAGGTAGACTGTACGAATGATAGGGATAATGTTTTACAAACTCTATGGAAGATATAGACGTTCTCAAGCATAAGTAACAAAACTTGACATTTTTTTCTATACCTCTAGGATTTTTAAGGCAAGCTCAAATGCTAGATGACAGTTTGCATTTGGCTGTCTGATTATCATTCTATGTTAGGTGAAACAAAATAAGACAACAAACCAATTAGAGTAAACGAAAAACTCAGGATTTGATTTTGACCAGTTTGGTCTTGTATGCTTTTATGGGTGGTATGAGGGCGGATGTTACTTCCCGGCTGCCCACACCGTGGAAGGGCTCCGATTCACATCATCTAGTCAATAACTGAAAAATAATTCCCATATTTTTCAATCTTGTAAAAATCTTTATTTGTTCATGTTATTTGAATTTGTTACGTTTGGTTAGTTTAAGTAACATTTGATAGTAGTATTTTATTTAAACAATATTAGGATAGATTTCATATTTTTCGAGGACTCAATAACCTACACATCTAGGGTTGGTTAAGATTTATTTTACCAAAAGTGACGTGATCATGTTCCAACCAGTCAGTAAAAAAGTGCATATACATGCAATCGCAATATGAGGGGGGGGACAAAAGTTAACTTCAGACATCCTAGCGAATGTTAAAGTATCTTATTCTCAGTAAACCAAAAAAACAGTTGGTATCAAATAATACAAGAGATAAAATCTGAAAGAGTTGTATTCTAATGGTAAATGGTAATAAGCAAAGAAAAAATTGAATGTGATACGATTATTGAAGAATCTCTAATTCATGCATAAGGTCTTCAAAACATGCATACAAGACAAACGAATTCGTATTGAAAATTAATGACTAAGTCTCTTGAAAAAAAGGTAATGAGTATAACTATGCACATAGCCACTGAATGTAACTAAGATCTATAAATGAATTAAAATAGTATGTGTACAATCAACATTATTGACTGTAAACTTTAAGTGACAAAGATAGCGGCAATCAATTGCAATTATACTTATTCTATAAAGACTGAAAAATCTTTTACTCAGTATCTAAAAGTATCTTGTTGAATTAATAGTATTGTTATTTGAGATTCGAAGTGCAAAATATCTTTATGCTATGAATTTTGTGTTGAATAGGTCAAGGAGTTATGAATTCTTACAGTAGAGAATGATCTTAATCTATACATATCCTTAAATTTACGGAGTATGACTTTACGATTATGATTCGTGAAATTTTCTGAGGGATAACGTTTTATAGGCTTGAACTGTTAGTACCTTAAGCATTTGAAGGATAAGATACAAGAGAATAGGGATTAGTAAGTGAAGTGGGAAAAAATTCCAAAACAAAAGCAGGAAGTGCAAGAAATCGACAATTTTAATCCCTTTGAATTCTATCGATCTGTAAAAGACCTAGCTCATTTTTTAAATACTACAAAAAACAGCAGAAATGCCTGATAAACGAAGATTCTAGGGTGTATTGAGTTACCTAGCTAGCAACAATCTCAAGTGGAAATGTACTTTCATAACCTACAAATTCATATAGTTAAAGAATCATCTTAGAGTTGTGGGATGTAGCCTCTATATAGTGATTAATTTCTTTAAATTTGTGACGTTTAATGTAAAGAAGCCATGCCCAACATATGGTTCATAGATAAAGAATGATACGAAGCATCTAAAGAAAATGATCCCTTAAAGAAATCAGTTTACAGCCAGTAGTGTTAGTTGTTATTAGCCGTTGAAACATGATAAATCAAGAGTGGACTTACTATAAACCCAAATCCATGTTCGAAAAAGTATCATTTAAATGGACCTGCTCTTCATCTATCTCAGTGATAGTTGAAAGGGCTGGGGGAGAAGATGTAGAAATGCTGCGTTGTGTACGCCTTGACAAAGTCCACACAAGTGGTGGTGAGCTGCCTAATAAACGGGATGAAGGATAATCCTGAACTGTGTAGGATCCTGATGTTTTGGAAAGTGCATCTTTTAAAGTGGAAGAACATGCATCAACATCAGTCCACGAAATCTGAAAAAATAAATGAAAAGGGATTTATGAGTAGGTTTTTGGAATCAAATAAGTCAGTTATAATGATCATGAAGATTGGAGCAAATGTATGTTAGCCAAAGTTGTTATACAGACGAAACAATAAAGCATTTACTAATAGTAAAACATTGAACTATCAAATTAAATACTCGATCATAATCTATGGGATCATAAATTCAAGCTTTTCACCAGTTACTTCTCTGATGCAAAAGTAGGCTAAAAGAAAGCTATGAGCGACCAGACCAAAATGTGGCACAAATCCATGAAGTCACTGACAAGTGGAGTCATGTTGGTAGGTGTCGACTACCTGGTTGGGGCAGGCGAGATGATAGTAATCGATGGTTAGAGACCTAGAACGACATGGCTCAAAACCGTTTGCAATCGCACAGGTGCATTCATTCTTAGTGTCCTCTAAAATTCCTAACCTTCAGAGTTCCTCATCACCTCTCTTTCTAAATTTATCTCACTAAATTATATTTCTTGAATAATATCCTCGAGCCCTAATCTTATCCATTACCAATAATGCGTCTACTACCTGTACTACTATAGGATTTAAATTGACGATTGCGTCTCTGTGCTAATGTGGTATGGCTACTTGGATAGATGTACGTACGTACGAAGTTCTACATTGTAGCTGAGTGACTCATTTTAGTTAGTGAAGGATTATTAATACTCAGTGAATTGAAGAGGTATCTCGGTATACAAGCTCTTTAACTATATACTGCAATACAGCTAGTTTGAACGCCGCTTCACGGACTATTCAGTCGGTCAGTTGCAACGTAGAACTTCGTATGTACGTTCACGTTGCCATAACACATTGGCACAGAGATGCAATTTTCAATTTAAATCCCATAGTAGTACAGGTAGTAGACGCATTAGTGGTAATGGAGAAGATCAGGGTTCGAGGATATTACTCAAGAAGTATAATTCAGTGAGATAACTTTAGAAAGAGAAAGAGACGATGAAGAATTTTGAGTACTAGAATTTGAGAGAACACAAAGAGTGGATGAACCTGCGCCACTGCAGATAATTTTAAGTCATGTCGTTTAAGGTCTCTAACCATCGATTACTATCGTCTCGCGAACCCCAACCAGGTAGACTACATCTACAAACATGACTCAGTCCACTTGTCAGTGACTTCATGGATTTGTGCCATGTTTTTGTTTGACCACTCAGTGCTTTCTTCCAGCCTAATTCTACACCACAAAATATAGCTCCACATGGCAGTTGGTGGTTGGGTATTCATTATACATGTCCAAACCACCTCAACTGATGAAGTTTCACTACTTCATTTACCGATCTGCCATCCTTACCTAGGACCCGTTTCCTGATGACAACATTGCTTACTCGGTTGTCCAACGATATACGAGCCATGGTTCGAAAATACCTATAATAGTATACTAATAACCTACTAGTATCTACTGTTCTTACCGACTATGTTTCGCATTCATATAGTAGGACGGAGCGAACTGCTGCGCAGTGCACTCGTCCTTTGGTCAGTAAAAGGATATCTCGCCTACGCCATAAGTGATGCAACTTGACAAAAGCCAATCGGACCTTCTGCATCCGCGCTGAGATTTCGTCAGTCACCAGGCCATCAGCACTGATGAGACTCTCGAGATAAGTGAAGAGGTTGACACGCCCAATCACGGACTATTACACCTAAATTGTATCTGAAGCATGATTACAAGAACCTGAAATAGGTATGCAAGTCATATTACTAAAATATTTATAAGTCTTCGTAAAACAAGATGGTCTAAAGTCATATTTATGAACCTGTGTTTAGCAAAGTAATCACAGTGCAGCTGACAGTTTAATCTATATTGCTTTTAGGCTGTGAAAATATTTGAAGACAGATAGAATATGCAGATTAATAGAAATGATGATACGTGACGTCAGGGCATTGTTGGAATATGTAGAGATCATTGATATTACAGTCCTGAAGTCAAGAATGAGGGATTATGAAGAACTATTGCAGAGGTAGCTGAGGAGCGAGTCTGTTTGAATATTTTCTCGAAACTGGATATAGGTCTATGGCAAATCCACTCATAATTTATAATGTTATTTTTACAAGACATAAGTGAACTAACTTTTTGGTTGGGCGCTGATTCATAAGAACTGATTGGTGAATGTGGGATTGTAGATGAGAGAGTTTAATTTTTAATCCCAGTAAATTTATGTCGATTACGATGGGTTACATTATCATTACTCACTAATATTTGTTCATGTGCCGAGTTTCCGAAATCCCAAAACTGGAGTATAAGTGCAGTGTATATCGTATAAGTTTATTGAATGCGAATAAGAAACAGATGCGTTGTAGACTGTTGGGACCAGCCATAAACTAATATACATAGGTAATCAAAGGGACCATTTAACATGAATAGTGGTACTGGCAGTCTTTAGTATTTCCACCAAAATCAGCTAGTATTTTGAGCACGCCTATTGTTTACCATTCCTTTATCCTTTAATGCTTTTCTTCGTTATACTGTTAAAAAGTATGGTGGCCAAACAGGTGAGTATCATTTCCAAGTTATGAAGAAGTTTATTAACTGAAATTTTTTTCAAAAGTTTAGACTCAAGATTTAAAGTTACTTACGTTGCATATAAGCGACAAGTTATAGAGGTCGGACGTATGAAACTGTAACCAATCGTCAACTGAACCCAGTGATCCGACAGTTGAACTAAAGCAAAGATGATTGAGCAAAGCCAGTGCTAGGCAGGACGGACGAAAGCATGATACCTCTGGGGATATTAGAGCGATTTCGATTTGACGACAAACAGATATAGGGACAGGCAACCAAGTGCTTTGATTTCCAGATTCGTTCTGATAAGACGTAAATGGAATGCCGAACGAAGAGAAAATGGACAGGAAATCGATGGCTGTAGCCGAGCACGCACCGACAGCAGCGACGCTGGAAGGTCCTAACTTTGTAAGGATAATTTCCACCATCCGCGTTAGATCAGCAGCTGTGCCACCACATCTTGATAGCGTTACGAGGCTTTCAGGTGTGGGTGAAATGCGATCCTATAAAATAGTAACATGATACTTAAATGTAATAGTTAGGACAGTTTGAAATAACTCAACAAACTATAGTTAAGTGAAAGTGCTTCTGTCTGTGAGATATTAGGAAAGGTTTTAGAGACATGATACAAACATGAGTCCTAAAATAAAGAGATATTTGAATATATCATGTGAAAGGTTATGCTTTCGGGCACAAAATGAATAACATAAGTGAGCAACAAAATTTAGTGACATTGACCATATTTGAGTTTTGACATTTAACACCTATCCTAAACATCATGAATGGATAAAGAACATCTTGAGCTTTAAACTAGGATTTTAATGAGTTAAAGGAACTTGGATTATTAACAAGCAAAATATTTACAAGGTATACAGGTGTAAGTGGCAGCAGGAGACAAAAATGAGATCAACCGAAAGTCGAATGAGTACTTGTAACACCACTAGACAAATTCAAAGTAGAGAACAATATCTCCACACCTAATGCGGTTTGGTCTACGATTACCCACTACAGAGGTAATTTACAAAAAGCCTTGAATCCTACACCTACAGGTAACAAGTAAAGTTTAATAAAATCATATCATCAATTTTACATGACAGCAACAAAAGGCCAGTTAGGCATACTTTGAAATTATACTATAGGGAAGCAAGCAATACAAGGGTTAAATATACTAGACAATTCGTCTGCAGTATATAGCTTGTAGAAAAAACACATTGTGAGCAAAATACTTAAGACGATCAAGTCTGGAAAAACAAAAACCAAAAAAGTTTACAAGGCATGCTTCTTCGTTTACTGTCACAGATAAGGTATTTAAAGACTTGTAAAAGTATTGGTTAAAACTTTAAAACAACTTACGGATGATCTCTCGAACTTGGAAGTGATATAGTAGCAAGCAGCGGCTACGCACATTGCGTACTTGGGTTTAACCTAATTAGTCATTGTATATACTAGAACGTTAAACCTACTTTCACTTTAGCAATAAGTGAATCCATTAAGCATACTGCCTTGCAGAATGTGATTGAGGATAGTGAATAATAGGCGCTATGTAAGGACCACAGTTTGGATAATGTTTCTGATCTTAAAGATGCGTCAACTTTATCATCCAAATCCTGAAGACATAAGCTTACAACAATGACAACTTACTGTGTTCACAGCTAGCAAGTGTTCATTGTCAACATGAAGCAATTTTTCTTGAGACAATGAAGAGAATAATTTTTCCTGAATAGTGTAATAAAACTAAGAGCAATGCAAATAGCTACATTAACTTACTGCTTGACAGCGAATGCTTGGAAAGGGCATTGGTGTCCATGGACTGAAAGTTTGTGTTGAAAGACTTTGGTCAGGGATAAGATCATTTTCAAAAGGTCTATGATGATTAAGGGTAGAGATTTCTTGATGTGAATCCGAATTTGTCTCAGAAACTTGGGGACGTTTTTTCAGACGACGACCTTTCTTGGGGGACTTTACAGATGAAAGCACTGCCTTAGGTAGTGTTCCGGAGATGCCTATAATGTTTCTCGAGCTTGTTACCATCATTGTGCAAAACAGACTGTTAATGTTTGTGAACCGGGTTTAAAAACAAAGGCATCAAAGACACTGTGATCTGATTGGCCAAAAGCATATGGCCTTCACACAAAGAACAGCTGATATAACGGACATTTTACTCATGAAGGTAGGTATTACAAACAAAATAAACCAAAAAACTGTAATGTAAAATCATGGAAAAAAGGATACAGACTCGGGAAAAATTACTTAAAAAATTACTTAAATTACTTAATCAATCGTTCCTATGACTAACTTATGGAAAGTAGGCCTATTAGTATTTTCATAAATCATGAGATAAAGTTTCAGATGATCGAAGTTGCTCGCAACGAATCTTGTTTCTTAGTGAAAATTGCTTGAACTGATCGATCAGAAGATTGTGTATCGTACACACCCAGTCTGATAAGCAGAATTAGTGAAATATGCATAACTATGTAAAACCACAAAACAAGTTAGTACTGTGTGTCTTCGACACTGATTCTGACCTCATTAGTTTTAGTGGACATACCTCAACTCAAGGCACCCAACTATGCATCAGAACTGGATCACTGTTGGGCTCGCTGTACAACGAATCTCTTCGTATCAACTTGTAAGATTAGTTCACTCTCTCCTCGCTGTCCCAACCATCATTCAAATATGCAGTTGATCATCTTCATTCCTGATTTCTGGTTTGTCTTTACTTTGAGTGTTCTCGATCTGAAAGGTGCCACAGGCAAAATCATTGTCAAACTATGAATATTTATCACGTTCTCAAATGATTTTCTTTGTGACGCGCTTGAATACTGACAGAGACTGAATAGCAACCAGAAATAATCGTTTAGGGAAGTAATAAGGAGTTAAAACTCAGAGCAGGACTACTCTAAGCAATCCGAAGTCACTGAATGCTTAGGCTGGTAGTTTGCTGGACTCCCTCATATATTCAGGTCATGTAGTACTGTAGAATACACATCTTTATAGTGTACATCATTGTTTCTACCAACCAGGCAACAAATTTGGAAAAATAACTTGTGCACAAACGATTCATATGATAATGAGACCAGTTTCTCATTGAGAATAAAACCTGAACTAGTAACAATCAAAGCAACCTATATATTCGCTCTGCTTGGTCAGTGGTTATCTTCTGAGCTGCGTTCGCATCTGAGCTAAAAGGTGGTTCACAGATAGTCCACGACTGAAACTCATACTATATGAATCTCATTACCTGAAGTGAGTCATTATCCGGTGTTTTACTTCTGTCTTTGAAGGCACAAGCTCATTTGAGAGATTCAAATTGCTAGCCGGGAAATATCGTAAGTAAACGTTACAACAGTGGCGACGGAGAAAAAGGAAAAAAATTCAAGATGCCTATTTCAGATGATCAGCTTAACCGAATACTACAACAACAGCAAGCACAATTAGATGCACAAATGCGGTTGTTGGAGACCCTAACTCAACAGCTCAACATCCAGTGTTCGAGTCCACATACTGTTTCAAATACGTCTTGTGAAGCAGTGGCTAACAGCATACCAGAATTCGTCTATAATCCTGAATGTGGAAATACTTTTCTGACGTGGTTCAAACGTTGGGAAGATACATTTTGAATTGAATTTGGTAAACAAGATGATGCATGGCAGACTCGATTGTTGCTGCGTAAGTTGGGAAGTAATGAGTATGAACGTTACGCTGACCACGTATTACCGAAGTTACCTCGAGAGCTCAGTTTCGAGGAGACAGTAACTCAGCTGTCAGATATTTTCAGCGAATCAGCATCATTGTTTAGTATTAGATATCATTGTCTAAATCTGGTGAAACACGAAGATGATGAATATGCGGTTCTTGCAGACGTCGTCAACAGAGAATGTGAACGGTTCAAGTTACGCTCGTTGACGGAAGACCAATTTAAATGCTTAATATTCATCAAAGCTCTTCAGTCACCGCAAGATGCTGAAACCAGAACTAGACTTTTGATTCGAATGGACCAAGACCCTAACGTCACACTCAGAACATTGACAGATGAGTGTAAACGCCTACAAAGTATCAGGCACGACAACATGTTGATTGAACAGGTAAATCACAATTTAACCGGCAGTAGTGTCAATGCTATTACTAGGTTAAAAGTCCAGAAGCCGATAGTATCTCGTAACAAACCAACGACGGCATGTTGGTTATGTGGTGATTGGCACTACGTACGATTTTGTCCATTTAAAAGACATAAATGTCAGATGTGCCATAAACGTGGACATAAAGAAGGCCATTGCCAACCAGATCGTACGTCTCAGCCCAAGAAGAAGCGCAAACGTACTCGACATGTGGTGAAATCAGCCGAGTATAAATCACTTTCTCTCGTAGCTGCTTTTCAAACAGAATATGATGTTCGGAGAAAGTATGTTACTATCCAGATGAACGGTGCATCAGCTCGTTTCCAAATCGACACGGCATCAGATATCACTTTAATGTCTAGAGAAACGTACAACATTCTGGGAAAACCGCCAATGAAGCCATCTAAGAAAACAGCTAAAAGCGCTTCAGGTGGTGTGTTGAAACTGGTTGGTGAGATGCAGTGTGAATTTTCCTTCAACGGGAAAAAATGCACAGGAATATGCTATCTGACAGAACGGCCAAACCTTGATCTTCTTGGTCTAGATATGCTAGAAAAACTGGGAATAATGGATGTACCCATTAATAGTGTCTGCAACATATCGTGTTCATCATTGGATACCCCGATACTTAAAAAGAAGACAGGTGAAAGACTACGTGAAAAACTGAAGGAAAAGTTTGCCTCTGTTTTTCAGAATAACCTTGGCCTCTGTACCAAGATGAAAGCTCACTTACCATTGAAGTCAGATGCGAAACCTATTTTTCGTCCTAGACGTCCTGTACCATATGCCACTCTTGAGCTAGTCGATCAGGAACTTAATCGCTTACAACAGGCTGGGGTAATCCAATCAGTCAACTACTCTTCATGGGCCGCACCGATCGTAGTGATTAAGAAAGCTAATGGAACTATGCGCATTTGTGCCGATTTCTCAACTGGTTTGAATGCTGCATTGGATGTGTATCAGTATCCGTTACCAGTTCCTGAAGTTCTGTTTGCCAAGCTTAATGGTGGTACATGTTTCGCGAAAATAGACTTTTCCGATGCCTATCTACAAGTAGAAGTAGATGAAGATAGTAGAGAGCTCCTGACTATTAACACCCATCGAGGGCTATTTCAATACACTCGTCTACCATTTGGCATCAAGACCGCACCGGCTATCTTTCAGCAAATAATGGATACGATGCTAACAGGTATACCTGGGACAGCAGCTTATCTAGATGATATCATAGTTATGGGTTCAAGTGACAGTGAACTGTCAGATCGACTACATCAAGTCCTTAACCGAGTGTTGGAGTATGGTTTCCAACTACGTGAAGAAAAGTGTATCTTCTTCATGCATTCGATCAAATACCTTGGTTTCATCTTAGATAAGAACGGTCGCCCACCAGACCCAGCCAACATCGAAGCCATTCAGAAGATGCCTGCACCAATTGATGTCTCTTCATTAAGATCTTTCTTGGGGTTAATCAGTCATTACAGCGCATTCCTGCCTGAAATGCATCGAGTGAGAGGTCCCTTGAATGAATTACTATCAAAAGATAAACCTTGGCAGTGGTCAGCAGAATGTCAAGCATCTTTCGATAAAGTCAAGTCGATGCTCAGCTCAAAGCTTCTTTTGACACACTTCGACCCCAGCTTGGGAATTGCTGTTGCATCTGACGCCTCTAGTTATGGAGTTGGAGCAGTAATATCTCATGTGTTTCCGGATAAATCAGAGAAAACAATTGCCCATGCTGCCAGATCTCTCACCCCAGCCGAGCGAAATTACAGTCAAATTGAGAAAGAAGCTCTTGCAATTATTTTCGCTGTCAAAAGATTTCATAAAATGCTCTATGGTCGTAAGTTTACGCTACTGACAGATCACAAACCCTTGATTGCAATCTTTGGTTCTAAGTAAGGAATCCCTGTCTATACGGCTAATAGATTACAGCGCTGGGCAACGATGCTCCTGAGTTATGATTTCAATATCAAGTATCAGTCGACAAATACTATCGGTCAAGCGGACGCTCTCTCTCGATTAATTGGGGTTCAGCATCCTGAACCAGAGGACATAATCATTGCCTCAACAGCAGTAGACCCAGAAATAAGGAGTGTAGTAGCAGACGCCATTCGAAACACTCCAGTGTCGTCAGAGGAAGTCAGAGAAGAAACTCTTCGAGACCCACTTCTACAAGAAGTTAGAAAGTTTCACCTGGAAGGTTGGCCTTCGAAGATCAACTCTTCAGAGCTTCAACAGTTTTACCAGCGTAGACTCTCTCTTTCAATCATCGACGACTGCCTGCTGTTTGCCGAACGAGTCATAATTCCAGCGAAGCTACAACCAGCAGTGCTTAAACAGTTGCACGTGGGACATCCTGGAATAAATCGCATGAAAGCACTAGCACGAAGTTATGTATACTGGCCGCACTTAGACACCCAGCTAGAGCAGCTATCCCGTTCGTGTACCAAATGTACATTAGCAGCAAAAGCACCGCGCAAAGCAGAGTTGCAATCATGGTCAATACCACAGTCACCGTGGCAGCGTATACGTTTGGACTTTGCTGGCCCACTTCATGGACAAACTTACCTTCTGGTAGTTGATGCATACAGTAAGTGGCCAGAAATTTTCTTCATGAAACACCCAACTGCAAGCTGTACAGTCAGTAAATTACGTAAACTATTCAGTCGTTTCGGAGTCCCGGAATTGATAGTTACTGACAACGGGACACAGTTTACGTCCGCAGTCTTCTCGCAATTTTGCCGACAGAACGGAATCCATCACGTCCGAACACCTCCATTCCATCCGCAATCAAATGGTCAAGTAGAACGCTTTGTGAGCACATTTAAAAATGCTCTAAAAAAATCCAAAGGGGAGGGGATCACCGAAGAGATCTTAGAGAGGTTCCTGCTTATTTATCGCTCTACACCGAACCCTCAGACGATTGACGGAGTCTTACCTGCGGAAGCTCTACTTGGTAGAAAATTACGAACACATTTTGATGTCATACGTCCTACACCAGCTC